CAGCTTCTCGTTCTTGAGCACCGCCAGAACCTCGTCAGCCGCCCCGCACAGGATGTCCCGCGGCTGTAACGGGACACCGGGACATCAGGGACACATGGGGGACATCAGGGACATAGGGGACAACGGGACATCAGGGAGAGGACACGGGGGACATCAGGGACACACGGGGAACAACGGGACATCAGGGAGGGGACAACAGGGACAACAGAGATCAGGGAGGGGACACAGGGACATCAGGGACACACGGGGGACAATGGAGATCAGGAAGGGGACACACGGGACAACGGGGCGTTCTGAGAGCCCACAGGTGGCTTTGTGTGACGGTGACACGGGAACGTCCCTGAGCGCCCAGAGGTGGCTCTGCACAGCAGTGACACAAAGAATGGCCCTGTCCCCAAGCCCCAATCCCTGTCCCCGTTGCCCCCATCCCTGTCCCCAGCCCCGTTCCCACGCTCACCTGGCCCCCCTGGCCCCGATCCCTGTCCCCATTGCCCCAATCCCTGTCCCCCAGTCTCATGCTCACCTGGTCCCCATGTCCCCAATCCCTGTAGCCATTGCCCCCGTCCCTGATCCCTGACCCCAATCCCTGTCCCCCGCTCCCACATTCACCTGGTCCCCATGGCCCCTATCCCTGTCCCCAAGGCCCAATCCCTGTCCCCATTGCCTCAATCCCTGTCCCCAATCCCTGTCCCCAAGCCCCAATCCCTGTCCCCATTGCCCCAATCCCTGTCCCCAGGCCCCAATCCCTGTCCCCATTGCCCCCAATCCCTGTCCCCATTTCCCCCATCCCTGTCCCCCAGTCCCGCTCCCACGCTCACCTGGTCCCCCTGGCCCCTATCCCTGTCCCCATTGCCCCAATCCCTGTCCCCATTCCCTGTCCCCATTGCCACCATCCCTGATCCCTGTCCCCAGGCCCCCATCCCTGTCCCCACTTCCCCCATCCCTGTCCCCATCCCCAGTCCCACTCTCACCTGGTCGCCCAGGGCCGCCTGGATGAAGCTGAGCAGCACCTCGTAGGTCTCGCGGGTCTCCTTGGTTTTGGGTTTGTAGATGATGCCGACCATCTCGTCGATGCCCTCGGACAGCAGCGTGTACCCCTTCATTTTATTGATGTCGTGCCTGTCCTCATCACGCTTCCTCCTCCTGGAAAAGGGGAAATGGGGAATCAGAGACACCCTCAGCCCTGATCCCGCTCCTGATCTTTCCCTTTGATCCCAAAATAAAGCCGTTAAATCCATTTATTTTTGCTTTTCGCGGCGTTTTTTGCCATGGAGGGAATAAAGGATCTGTAACTCCTGGGTGGGATTGGRTCTGCAGGTCTGGGATGGGATTTTCCAATTCCAAATGATCCCAAAAGTTTTGAAGTGGAGAAGGGAAGGGTCCAGGGAGAGCTCAGAGCCCCTGGCAGGGCCTGGAGGGGCTCCAGGAGAGCTGGAGAGGGACTGGGGACAAGGGATGGAGGGACAGGACACAGGGGATGGGGTCACACTGGGAAAGGGGAATTGAAATGGGATTCTGGGAAGGAATTCCTGGCTGGGAGGGTGGGGAGGGGCAGGGATGGAATTCCCGGAGAAACTAAGGTTGCTCCATCCCTGGGAGTGCCCCAGATTGGATAAAGTTTGAGTTCACAGGAGGAAAAGTGGAAATTTAGATGGATTTTGGGATGAAATTCTTCCTTTTGAGGGTGTTGAGGGAGCTGGGAAGGGACTGGGGACAAGGGATGGAGGGACAGGACACAGGGAATGGGGTCACACTGGGAAAGAGGGATTGAAATGGGATTCTGGGATAAAAGGGGGTTCAAAGGGGCTAGGATGGAATTCCCAGAGCAGCTGTGGCTGCCCCTGGATCCCTGGGAGTGCCCCAGATTGGATAAAGTTTGAGTTCACAGGAGGAAAAGTGGAAATTTAGATGGATTTTGGGATGAAATTCTTCTTTTTGAGGGTGTTGAGGGAGCTGGAGAGGGACAGGACACAGGGAATGGGGTCACACTGGGAAATTGGTGAAATTAGGATGAAATTCTCCTTTTTGGGGTGGGGAGGGGCTGGGATGGAATTCCCAGACTCCCCTCAGCCCCATCCCATCCCCCTCCCTACCCATCCCACCCCGCTCCCAGTCCCCGTTATCCCGGCTGGAATTCCCGCTCCCCACTCACTTGGCCCTCCTCTCCTCCTGCATTTGGGGTTTTGTCCTCTGTGCCTTGTCCCCCATGCGGGTCCCCTCCAGTTTGCCCACCAGGGACAGCACCTCSCCCGTGGGCTCATCGCGCCGCGTGCGGTCGATCAGAGAGCGGTCGGCTTGGAGCACGAGGTTGGAGTTCTGGGGATGGAAAAATCGGGGTGTGGGGTGAGATTGGGGTGGGGGGTCC